CGAATTACTTTAACACCATTCGCAAGTTCTACTTGTTTAGCGATTCCTTATAAACAAAAGCCCCGGTCGACCTTGAGTGACCTTTGCGTCTTACTGGGCTGCGCTCAACAAAATTAAATCAGTCACTTTTATAAATATTTGGAGCTCGTAATTTTCTTTTTTGAAGCTTGGAATGCTTATTAATGCTACACCCCCCCCCCCCCCCCCCCCCCCAGTTTTGTCCGTCCGTCCATGTATTTCTCACTAAATTTTGCAGAGAAATCGATGTCACGTGACCTATGCACGAATTCAGTTTTCCCGCAAAATTTATCGGGAAGTTTGTTGCCGCATGACCTGATGTCATGGTGCCTACAGACCAATTCAGTTTGCCTGCTAAAATTAAAGGAACGTATAAAGTTATAAAACAAGTTTACACGCAAGAGATTAATGCTTAACGGACGAGTATACTTTGGTCACACTAGTGCCAGTAAGCTTGTCTGAAGGAAGATTCCAATGCAGTATCAAGGCAAGTCCCCTTTAATATATACACTATATACATCTCTTGCTTTAAACCAAGTATTTTTGTTCCAAAACGTTAACGTGATGGGATTTATCCAGATATACTCTTGATTATCTGGTGTAACCTTGACGAGTGTAATTAGCGATAGTTAGGCTTGTGAGCTTAGTATATTTTTGATTGTATACACAATATATAAAGGTTATAAACAATAATTTTCTTCATGACCTTTCTTAGAGCCGTTTTGTGTACATGTCTCTTCTATTTATTTCCTGTTATATCTCTTAAATGTTATTTAGTTAATTTAATATTTCTGGTAATGCCCGGCTTGAAAAAGCAAGCAACCATATTTGAGCCTTTGAATTGTCTGAACTACTCCAGAATAAATGAAACGAAATAGGTCAAACGTTTTAACTAAGACAACAACGAGGCATGGTTCGAAACTCAAGGAGTAAGAATATCCGCACTCCTCCTTCGTGGTTTGCGTTATCACCTTTTCCTGCTTTGCGGGAATTTGCCATCACGTTCGAGTGACTATGCACGGCGTCATATATCACCCTAAAATAGCAGCCAAAGTCCGGAAATCCCGTGTTTCCTCTGTAAGAATGATAGCGAGGCACCATCCGTTCCTCTTTCTCTCTCTCTCTTCCGGTAGTTGCACTTCAACCTAATCTAGAGTCAGATCTGCCTTTGGTGACGTTTGTGCGAGAAAGCCGTGGAGGTCTTTCAATGCCCACACCCAAAAGGCCACTAAGAAAAGACAGAAAGAAAAAAAAAATAACATCCGTGGTTTAAATATTTTCGCCCACAAAAAATTATCTTCCACCAATTTTTGTAGGCGAAAATATATAAACCACGGATGTTATTTTTTTTTCTGTCTTTTCTTTACACGCAATGAAACCTTCCCTGTATACGCTGCGTCGGCGTACATGCGTAATTATGGAAACTTTTCCAACAATTCCTCGATACACAAAAGCAATCACCGTCCTCTAATCTGGACGGCCGATAAGCGCGCTGTGGCTGAGTTGCTGTCGGCGCGGCGCACGCGTAGACGCTTACTTTCACGCGTGTCTTACCTTTGTGCACGCGCAGTGAGCCCCCGCAGTACGCCGTGCAAGTTCGTCTGCTCCTTGCGTGCCTCGTGCGTTTGTTTACCCTCTAAACGCTCCCACGTACTTTTGTTTCCTCGCGACCTCAACAAATGACGCTGCTCACTTATAGTCGCCTCGTCCTCGCGCGTTCTATGCGCCATCTCCTGTGGCCTTTAGATTGGCGTTCTCCTCCTTGTGTACAGCAGGTCCGCCAAAAGAAGCATTTTGGAGCACTTGCTCGCTGTATGAATTTCGTCAGAGTGCCATGATCAAGCTTTCTCCCGCCTGGGTTCCTGTGACATAGAAATAGTACAAAACGTCGTACTTGGCCTAATTTTACCGAGTACGTGCGGTGGGAAGAATCCGTACAAGTGATTGCTAGAAAGCTATCAATAGGCTTAGGCACAATTTACAGGCAAAAGCAAAAACAAACAAAAAAACATTGCCCGAGTTGGTACTCTGTCTTATCTATAACTGTTTGATTTATGCTTATTTTAATATATTAAAATATAATAAAATATATAATATAAAAATATATACGAAGATATATTTTTATATATATAAGATATATATAGATATATAAGAGGAAACACCATTGTTTAAAATATTCAAGTTATCGATGTATTTCAGAAAATAGTAACTCGTCACCATGTGCAATCAGATGTGTAACTTCCACACAACACCGTTATTACGAAAATTGGGTAACATTCAAATAACAAACTTCTATTATTACGAGCTTGCTGCAACATGCAAAGGAGGTTTGCAACAATCCAGTTAGAAAACTTCATTCTCTTCATTCCCTGTAATAAAAAAAGAAGCTTTATGTCTTTCGTTATGAATATGTCGGGATGGTACCGCGCACGAGCACAACCTCAGGAAATCAGATGCGTAAACATACCTCCCCTTAGGTTTCTAAATGTATTTTATTACCGAGTATTAAGCTTAGATGTGTATTCATTAAATATATACGTTTCGTATTTGTCAAGTAACTCTTGCATTTTCTTGTCTATTCAATTTAACGCAGGGTATGTTTATTAGTCAATTTTCATGGACGTCTGTAACGTATAGCTGTAAAGAAGAACCTACACCCGAAAAGCATTACGTCCAAAGGCAACCTATAAGAAAGACCTCAGGATTTGAATTCACCACCTTGAGATTGTGAGCCAAGCTGACTGAGCTTTCCAACTTAGTCAACTATGTTGACTGAGCTATCCAGGGGTTCGAACCACGTTCGTCCGCGTTGCAGCCGCCTGCGTTTTCGACTCCACCATGCACGCGGCAAAGACTGAGCTATCCAGGGTCGGTGGTCGAAGCACGCAAAAGCAAACTCATTTGCGCAACTCTTGAAGGTGCGGTCTCGCACTTCGCGGTCTCTCCTCATACGCTGCGCCATCTCACGGCGTGTGCCTGAAACGAGAGCGAATCTTCGGTAGGCGGGGCCGTTCAGACGCTCTTCTCTTCTATCCTGGAAGGCCCATCACACTTTCACACCTTCTGCGCTTAACAGCCTTAGTCAGCATGATCAAGCTCGTATAATTTTTTGTCTTCGAGTTGACGACTGTTTTGGCTGTTTTTCACGAAGGAGATGACTTTCTCAAGCAGTTTTGTGTTACTTCTTCGTTCGCCTGGAACTCCCGTTCAGTCGGTGCGAATGCGAATTCCACCCAAATGCTGACTCTGCGCTTGTGTCCAATCTCTCTCCTACGTGCGCCTTCCTTAGTGAAACAGACAATTTAAGAACCACGGCCTAAAATTATAGTCAGAGAGAGTTTAAGAAACGGAGGGCACTGCTTACAATGTTTCCGCGCATTATATTGTAAGTCGTCCATCAGCGCTCGTCGAGGCTGCAACCTTATGGGCTGCGGAGCGTAGTAAGCGGCATAGAACTCACGACACTTCGCCTTTTTCAAGCTGGCAGCTACTGGAGCAGGTGGTTGCTAACGCATAATTGCATTCTTACGCAAGATTACTATGGTTTAGCTTCGAAGAATAAGTGAGTGAAGCGTACATGGTTCATGAGAGTTGGCCGGCTGCCAGACACCTGCGCTGCGAGCTCCGCCAAACAAACAATGCAACTGTAAAAAAAAAAAAAACCATAGGAAGGAGGATTTGGAGACGCTTCGAGAAGGCTTCGACAGCTACAAAAAGTTTCAAAACACCAACATAAAAAAAGTGGCCGAAATCGCCGCGGCCGCCAAGCTGATTCTCGAAGAAATTTCGGGCAGCGGATATCACACAGCATGCTTAATGCAGCCTCTCCGAACTTTTCCGCGGGGTGAACATTCTCGAAAACCCTCTTCTCCCTGGTGCAAGCAGATCAGGTAACTTAAGGCGCGTTCACACCGGCGATGCGATTTAGTCGCGCAAAAACTTTCATCGCAAAAGTCGCTTTTGCGACAAAAGTCGCTCGCGACTGCTCGAATCGCGTCGCTTCTTTTCCGAGATGGTCGCCATCCCGGAAAAAAAGGGACGCGATTCGAGCAGTCGCGAGCTGACCCGATTTTTTGCGATGCGATCTAGTCGCGGAGCGGCTGAGCCAATCAGCGGAGTTCGGAGCGAGAGTTTTCCAGAAGCGACTCGCTCATTCACACCGGCGATGTAAGCATTCGCACAATGCAACAAAATCGCATCACAAAAAAAAAAAAAAAAAAAAAAAAAAAAATTAGATGGTCACATTGGCGTGCGCGATGAGTGAGTCCAACGCCTTCGTTGGCGAGTCGTTTCTCGAAAACTTTCGCTCCGAACGCCGTTGATTGGCTCAGCCGCTCCGCGACTAGATCGCATCGCAAAACGTCGCGTCAGCATGCGACTGCTCAAATCGCTTCACTTTTTGGCCGCGATGGTCGCTTTTGCGATGAAAATTGTCGCGCGACTAGATTGCATCGCCGGTGTGAACGCGTCTTTACCATCAGAATTTCTTGTGACGCAACCTAGTCGCATCGTGCGGCTGCTTTACATCGCCGGTGTCGCCATTAGTGTGTGCACGAGGGACGTGCGCGCGATGCGGAGAAAACGACAGAGCCATTTCGTTGTTGTAAATACATGTTGTGCCTGCAGGGTCGACGACACCGTGCGCTTATGGCCGGTCAACGTCCAAGGTTGGTGCAGGTACCATGGCACTAATGCTAAAGCATTAAAGAAAAAGAGAATGTGGCGAAACCGACACGGTGTCGCGTGCCTCGAAGGCTTAGGGTTGAGTCAGCGTTCGCTGTAGACCTGATAACACACAATTCTTAATATGGCAGTTTGATCGATAGATCGAAATAAAACTACAATCTCGCCCTTTCTCCCTTTTTGTAAATTTTTATATAAAGACAAATGAGTCTGAAACACACTAGCTTTTAAAAGACATGTTTTATTGCTCCCTTGTTCAGTTTTCAATCAAGATGAGTTTTTATTTTTTTCCTTCACAGGCCTGTGCTCCCCGATACGTCTACTTCTCGGTGAATCTGCGGCGGCGTGAACCAGTGGGCACGTGCTTCGTATCGCAGAGCTACTTCGCGGGCTTCCAGGAATACTCGCCGTGCAGGACGTGTGAGTAGTCAGACCTCCCTCTTTCCCATGCGTCGAGGATCACATGTTTGTTGGTAACCGATGATCTGTGACTTGGCGTCCGCTTCGTGGGACTGAAGAAACATGTGTAAAAGCAAACAGAGACGAACACGAACGGGCACGGACAAGCGCGCCCAACCAGATATTCATCATTCGGGCCGCTAGGCGGTACAAAGCTCGCAGGTTTATCTCAGCCATCGTGGCCGGCTGGATAAAACCGCGTGTTACAAAATTTCTATAGAAATCTTATAGAAATACTATAGAATTCCCCTAGAATTTTACGTGACATCATGAGGTCACGTGATTGGGACACCACTGTGTCACGTGACATGGCGTATATGTTTCATTCGTTCTAGCTGCCTGGGGAGTCCACAGGCAGGGCTCCTGTCAAGCGGGCTTCTCTGCAGCGATTACGCAGGTGAGGCAAAGTATGCGGCGAGTAGACGCGCATTCTCAATAATCTGACTTGCAACGAGCCAAAGAGCTTTGCCGAATACCCCTATACGTTTCCCTTTTCCTCTTATCAGTTTGAAACACAACAGATTAGCATATAAGGGAAGCTTCAGGCACACAACTAAAGCTGCCCTTATTTGACATCTCTTCAACTGGTCTTTGTTTCTCAATCACCAAGGAAACCATGGTGCGCTGTTGGCCCTGAATTTTCAAAATCTGCTAGTTTTTCGAAATATTTTTGTGATTTTGTGCTCTTTCCCTCTGTGGACAACAGAAATAAGATACACCCTCTCTCGACATAATCCAGTATTTTACCACAAATTAGTGATGGGCATGGAGATTTTTAAATGTATCAAAAAATGAACGAAAGCGAGAGAGTCAAGATGACATTATTAAATACATTCACACTGAATCGTTTATTTGACTCATTTTCTCCCCAATGCAGGACGGACGCCGTCTTTACATGGGTGCTGTAGGCAGCTGGTACTGGCAAGGTACGTTTCCTAGCGTTATAAAAATGGTATTATATAACGTAATCTCAAGGCTTAAATAACAGTACGAAGCATAGTATCTGGAATATATAGGGGTGCCTCAAAGGGCGTTTGACAGGACAATATGAAGTATTGCTTCTCTTTCACGTAATTGTAGGCCACATCTTGGATGAATTTTGAAAACCCCTTAAAATTGCAATGGGGGAAACCACGTTCAGAGTGAGCCTTCATAAAAAAAAACAGAATGCTATAGATATAAGAGAGGCCCTGGAACACTAAAACAAGGATGTTAGTTGTTTAAAAAAAAACATTGACAGCACGGATTGCAATTTGTTTCAAAAACGGTTTTGTTTGTCGCATATTGTAGTTCTTTGAGTTCCTTCGCAGATGGGCCTGATCGATCTCGACGCGCGCGATACGGACAGTGGTAAATGCATTTATTAGAATAAAACGCTAGTTTTTTTTTCTTCCGTGCATACACTTCGTGCAGCACCGAGGACAAACTAAAAAGACGTCACTTTACGTTTATCGTAGCTTTTAGATGAAAACGCTGGATTTCCACCATCTCACCTGCGAGCACACAAATACAGTTCTTACAAGTTTTGTTTTTGAAAGGCTCAGAACAAAGGTGGAATGATGATGGTATCGAAGTTCCCTTGAGCCTTGAAGCGGGTTTTAGGTTCGGATTCTTCGAAATGTCACGTGTCTTGATACTATGGGAACTCAAACTTCTTTTAGCGCTTAGTATGTGAAATAGGTTCTGACAGGATGGAAATGGCAAGGAGGAGTTTAACTTGTCCCGCCTCCAGCGCGGGCTTCTTACCTTCGAGAATGCTTCGACGTCTCGTGGGCCTCGAGCATGCACGCACTGCGGAAGCACGACAGAAGGCGACGAGCACGTGCTGGAGGCCTGGCGTCTAAAAGAGACCTCTGCCGTTTTCATCCTTTTATTGAGTGCTGAGTCTGATGTTCTAAGATCTGAGGCAGCGCCTTTGTCCGCCCGTGGAGGCAGGTCAAGTGTTTTCCCAGGACCTGGCGGTGAGGGAGAACCATTACAACACCTCAGAGTCCCCGTCCGAACACGACGACAGCTTCCTCGGTGAGTCATTTTTGCTTTCGTATCCACACACTTCGAGAGATCGTGGACAAACGTTAAAAAGGTCATCATTCACTTCTCTTTTTTTCGCTAGCAAAGTCACTATTGGCGACAAGGCGTTTCAGTGGCGCCCCTTTATGGGGCCTATCCGCGAAGTCATGGCCAAGATGATCAGTTGTGAATTAGATGTCCAGTGATGTGCGCAAAAACATGGTGAAAGTTTGGAATTGTGCCGTTCTTAAATTAACACCGTCACAAATTACAGTCTGTTATTACACTAAATTCCATCGATTAAAAGAGATGTAACTTTAGTAAAGACGTGATCGTAAGCTTTTGACCAATACCACAACGATGCTTTTGGCTGCGCGTTTCGTCAATGCCGTTGAGAAGGGTAAATCTATAATGTAACAAATATTTTAGCTTTAATGTCCAACCGTTTATTAAGAATAACTGTATAAGCGTATGGCAAGCGTGTGAGCGTATGGCGTGCTTCAGTAGAGTGCACGCTCACGCTGAAGGCTCTAAAGCACGTTTGACAGCATTGTCGTGGGGATTTATGTCTTACCGCATCTCGCAAGTTGTGCGCACTTCTGTCGAAGGCGCGGGTGCGAGTACACGTTGTCACTTCTCCTACTGCCTTCCGGACTTGTTTTAGTCACGGTTCACGTGAAATTGCAACTACTCGTTCGATCGTTTTTTTTTTTCTACAGGTTACTCAACAGCCGTGGGCGAATTCTCTGGGGACAATGACCCCGACGTGGCGGTTGGAATGCCCCGTGGCCACGAGCTCGCAGGCAAGGCGAGTGACCTGCCCGCAACCCTCGACAGAATTTCTTACGCAAGCGCCATGGCTTAGCGGTCGTCCATCAAATTAGCCTATCTGCCCTTCGTCTCTAAGTCTGCGCTTGACTATAAGTGTATAAACACGCCTCCTTTTTTTTAAATAGACGGACGTTGAAACTCAGAGCTTATTTTCGGAACATGAACCAAACTTTTCAAACACTTTCGTTTGGTTGCAGTCGAGTGCGTCACAACCTCTTGCGATCGCTTGCGACGAGAAAACACATCGACACTATCTATCCAATTGTCTTTAACCTCTTGCGAGTTGAGTATGTTTCCCAAATTGTTTCGAATCATTCTTTCACCCCGGACTTAAAAAAACCTTTATCAATGTTATAAAAGACAATTTCTCATATATAGTACTTACATTTGACCTTGCCAATGATACAACACGTTCACTGTAGTTAAATGCTGTCCCAGAACTACATCATAGATGGCGCAAGCATGCCAGTAAGTGTGTTCTCTTGTGCTATGGGAGCACAAGACTGCATAAGGCTGCGCCACGCACTCGGTGGCAACGAAACGCAAGTGTGTGAGCCCGTCTCTAGACTACGTATATGTTTGTTAAACACATAGTATGACGTAATGCTGTTTTAAAAACACCTTAAATCGCACATATAGTATTTTCTCCGAAAATAAAAGAGACACTCGCGGAAAAGCATGGATTTATGATGAACCACAGTTTTGTCCCCCATATGATTCCATATTGAGGAAAGTATGACTGATGTTAATATAAGACAATGGTAATGATTCGCGTCACCCTACGAAGCCCTTTTAAAGAACCTCGACGAGACATATACCTATACATGACTGAAGTTTCTACGGAGGCATGACCAAAATCAGGGATCTTTCTAAACCAACCACCCACCGAGAACCGGCCGGTCAAGGATGGTCCTACTTCCGTCTTCGCACTCACGCGCGCTTTCAACACTAAACTCAGCTTTTGGGAAGTATTAAGCCATGTGTTGCAAACCTTTAATATAAACATGAAAAAGTGTTTTCACAGTTTTCATACCACAAAGGGAGTTTTACAATGCCAAAAGATGAACGACTGCTCTTTTTTTTCTAATTTAATTTTTAGTCTACCAAAAAAACACTCAATGGTAAAAAGAACATTACAATAAAAAAAGAGTACAAACCTGTTAAAATTGGCAGTTGGTGATCAGTAATTGTCGCGTTAGATGCTTTCCTTTGTTTGCAAATAAATTTGTTTTTTTCTGGTTTATTTGCAGGTAGTTCTCTACGACGGAAGGCTGAAACACTTAGGGAATCTGACCGGAGAACAGATGGGCTCGTATTTTGGCTACTCTGTAGCTTCTGCCGACATCAACGGAGATGGGTGACTATGCTCGCACTACACTTGATTGGTCACTCATGAAAAAAAAAGTGAAAGCCGTTTACAAATCCCTGTAACGCCGAATTGGAGCGCAGCTCTTGAGGAGGAGGAGTGAAGGGTACTGAGGGGAGGGTAGACCCCTCCTCCTCCCCTCATTGTTTAATATGCTCCGGGGGGGGCGGTCACGTGACCTCGGGGGGTCACGTGACCTCAGAGGGGTCACGTGACCTCAGAGGGGTCACGTGACCTGGGGGTCACGTGGGGGTCACCTTGGGGTCACGTGACCTTGAGATGACCTTGGGAGGGGTCACGTGACCTTGGGGAGGAGACCACGTGACCTCGGGGGTCACGTGACCTCAGAGGGGTCACGTGACGGGGGTCACGTGACCTTCAAAGGGTCACGTGGGGTCTTGGGGTCACGTGACCTTGAGATGACCTTGGGAGGGGTCACGTGACCTTGGGAGACGTGGGGTCACGTGACCTTGAGATGACCTTGGGAGGGGTCACGTGACCTGGAGGGGTCACGTGACCTTGGGATGACCTTGGTTACGGCGACGGCGACGGCGACGGCGACGGCGACGCCGCTCAAGCCGGGAACGGGCCCCTAAGAGCTGCGCTCTAAAAAAAAAAGCTTTAGTCGCTTCGTCTTTATCGCGATGACTAGACTAATGACCGACGTACATCTTTGGTGTCCTGCAAGCCAGTTAATCTTCTTAGCGTCCTCCAAGCTGCAAATGTAGCGAAGGAGGGAAAGGAGGGCTGCCTCCGCGTCCATTCTTTGCCCCAAGCTGGTCACCGGTCGTTGACGTAGAAAATGTAGCATTACGGCCTTGCTATCTACAAGGTGTTAGAGGAGGGCATGCCCTCCAACATCCTCTGTCATGCCGCCTTTCGACATTCTCCTCTGTTTTATGCCCTACATCGCCAAGCATTCATCCCCGTGCCCTCCTTCGCCATGTCGTCCCCCGCCATGCCCTCCTTCGCCATCCCTTCCTCCACCATGGCCTCCTCAAACACGCCCGCCTCCACCATGCCCTCCTACAATATGCCCTCCTCCAACATGCCATCCTCCGCATGGCCCTCCCCACTATGGTTTCTCCTAACATGCGTCCCTCAACATGCCCTCAACCGCCATGGCCTCTTCCACTACGCCCTCCTCCACCATGCCCTTGCATGCCATGCCCTCTCCCATTATGCCCTGCTCTGAAATGCCCTCCTCCGCTATGCTTTTCTCCACCATGGCCCCTTCCAACATGCCGTCCTTCAACCTGCCCTTGTCCATCATGCCCTTCTTCATAATGCCCTCCTCGAATGAGATAAGCGCAACATCTGGACCGCGCGACGTTTAACGCATAAAAACAACAGCCGTTCATTTTTAAACATTTTATAGAATTGAAGGCCGGCGATCAAATTTACTACGGAAATAGAAAGTTCTCTCTTAAAGGCACTAAGCTAAGCTTAAAAATTTCGTGGCCGCCAAGACCCTTTAGAAATGAAGTGGAAAAAAGCGCCGATGTTGTGTTCGTGCTAAGAGTGTCGCGACGTGTACATCTGCTTACAAATGAACTGCACCCATTGTTGCCTACTTGGTAAAAAAAAAGAAGAAAAAATTGGTAAACTTAAAGGGGTGTTTGACGCTTGACTTGAAAGCAGAAAAGAAATCTCACATAAGGATATATCAAGCTGTACATTGCGCAACACTGTTAACCCAAACAAGCGATCGTCGGTTTTTTAGAAGGGTTGTCATCAAAACTACTTTTATGGTAGAATATGCTCATTTGGGACAGTCAAATAAGAATGAAAATCCGGTGCCTGCCGATAGCTTCTCGAAGTGTTAATGCCAGAAAGAAAAAAAAAAAAAAAACGCTCCGATATCACGTTTGCACTAACAGTGTCGCGAAGTGTACATAGAGCCCTGAATGATATAAATCATTAATATCGTACTATCGGAAAACCGAAAAAAGAAATAAAACTTCGCTATGCGGACAGAAAGCGAGGGACGAGCGCACGCGGTTGTGTCAGGACGCCGAGCATTGGTTACAATAATTAGGGGGTAGACAGGAGGCTAGCTGTTTTTGTCTCCACCTCGCTCGTCGAAGGCGTGAGAACGCGGAGAGCCAGCGTCCCGCGTTTGTCATTCGCGTTCCAACACGTTTGAACAGTGCAGTGGAGACCTATGGGCTTTGGCGCCTACCCCCTAGGCGTTCCAACCAGAACTCGATGATCTAACGTCCCGCGCGCTCTCGTCTAATCCTCTTCCTCAGCTTCTGCCTTGTCAACTAAAACTCATTAGAAAAAAAAAAAAGCGAACAAAAATAGAGGAGGTACGTGAAGGCTTTGCGGTTGTAGAAATACAACGCTTTCGCATCACTCTTTTTAGGCCAGCAATAATAACAGATGAAGAACCCAAGGGTCGATAATGTTTTGCTTCTAAAATAAGACAAGCACGCGCAAAGCCTAAGAAAACAAAAAAAAAACAAAAAAAAAAAACGAGTCTAAAGTTGTTTTTTTTTCCTTTTTTTATTTTAGCCAGGATGATTTAATGGTAGGGGCGCCACTCTTTACGGAGGAAGGTCTCAAGGATGGCAGCTACGAGCGAGGTCGCGTTTACGTCTACCTCCAGAATCCGGCTACGGTGAGTATACTCGTAAACCAGTAACTTGTACGAAAAAAAAAGATAAACTATTCTGCCGTGAGAGCTAAGCGCAGAGACAGCGTACACTTTCTCGAAGGCATTTCCATGACTTGAAAAGAAACATATCGAAGAATCTCGCTTTCGAAATGCACTATGGTCGGTGACAGGTCAAGGAGGAAGTGGAAAGAGGAGGGAGCAGCTTCCACTTCCTTCTTGACCTGTCACCGACTATAGAGCAACCCTCGACTTAAGAAACGTGGGTCCTGGCACAGCCAATGCAGAGCACAAGTTTATCTGCTTCTTTTCTAGAGGTTGTGGTGACGTTAGAACGACGCCGAGCTTTGTTTGGCTCTGATTGAGAGGATAGTGCGTAGACCTCAAAGCAGATGTGGCCTCGAGGTCTACCCCCTATCCTTCAATCAGAGCCAATCAGAACTCGGCGTCGTTCTAACATTACCACAACCTCTACAAAAGAAGCAGACGAGCTTGCGCTCCGCATAAGATTGTAGAGACAGTGGATATAAACGTCGAGGAACGAGTTACCAAGCAGGGCGCGTGATCCTAAAAGGCCGCGCCGTACGTTTCTTAGATTGTCATTCACTTTAGAAACGTGAATATAATAAGTTACGTCCTGCGATTCTTAAGCAGTCGGTGACCATACTTGTCAGTTTCTTGTTGTTGCTGTCACCGTGATGATGACAGCAACATCAAACAACAACGATAACATCGGCGTAACAAAACAAAACTTCAAAAACACAACTTTTTTTTTTTTTTAAGGTGGCCGTGTTTTTGGCGGGGTTTTCCTTTGCCTAATAAAATGCCAATGTTGCATTTCTGAGCTTCGTGATCGCTCCCCGATCTGTTACTTCTTTTACAAACAGGCCAGTCGTAATACGGCTGCTTCTAGGACGCCCGGCCAGTGCTGTGCGCGCTACAGTCACGAGCAACTGTGGAGTCCCCTACAGAGCGAGAATGGCGGGGCTTGACTTTCGAACGCCCGCGACCTCCAGCCCGCGCTCCAATGAATTTCGCTGCGCTTTGGCTTGGCTGAAGCGTACTTCGGCCGAAGCTACTTTGGCCAAAGTGTTGTCGAAGGTGGAAAGCCCGCGCTGGAGGCGAAAGAAAGAACTCCCTGCCGCTCACACCTTGTCAATGACTTGCTTTTTTCTTGTTTTCGTTCGCTCGTTTTATACACTTGAAAACCGTAAGACGGTGTTGCTTTTTGTAAAAAAAGATACTCTGACGTTATTTTGCTTGTTCTTTTCTAATTAAAATCACAAAACGTATAGCAGTTCTTAAAGCTATAATATGCTAATAAACTATTATTTCCTAATAACAAATATGAGCGCGATGTTCTATGGCCCTCCTAGAACACTTCGAATGGACAAACACTGCTATATTTGGCCGACGACGTTGCAGCTGGAACTTCATGAACTTGCGACGACATTGCACCTTTGAGTGAAGCTCATGACCAACTCGGTCTGCATCTCTTGTAGTAGCATATTTTTTTTAAAAATATTTTTACCTGTTCCACTTTAAGGCCCGTTCACACTCTTGCGACCGAGTGCGACCGAGTACGACTGAGAGAGACGAGTTCTCTTAAAACTTGCTAAATGTTTTTAAAATGAGGGAACAAACTGGCATTGTGGCGCCATCTATGCGGTGACCCTGGAACTGCATTTCACAAGAGCGAAGGTTTTGCGGGATTTCCGAGGTCAAATGTGCGTAATACCCATAGAAAGGCTCGTTTATAACATTGACAAAAGTTTTTCGAGCCAAGAAAGAAAGGATAATGCGCGAGAAATAAAAAAAAAAAAAAATATGCCGGACCGCCGAGTTCACTGCTTCCCAATCGATGGCACCAGTGTGTTTTCTGGTTTAAGAAGTTGTAAGCAATCTAGGTTTAAGAGGTCGCAAGAGTGTGAACGGGCCTTAAAGGAGACGCTGGGTATTAAAATCTTAAGACAAGTCTCCAACACGACCTTCAAAAATGCCGTTTAAAAAAAGAACTTAATTTTTTTTAGATATTCGCAGAGTAATGCCATTTAAACGATACTCTTAAATAACGTTGACACCTTGTTTTACCGTTGCCCGCAGCATGAGCTGGAGCGTTCGAGCATGTTGGATGGTGACCAAGCCAAGGGACGCTTCGGCATGGCACTCTGCTCTCTGGGAGACTTGGATCACGACGGGTATCAAGGTTCGGCGTCAGTTATAACAGAGCTCCGCCCCAAATTAACCACTAAGATAAAAGTCGGAAGAAAGAAGAAACACGCATAAATCAAGGAACGGTCAAATCTTGCTTCTACAGTGAAGGTGATAAAGCCCATTTAAGGTAACTAAAAATAAAAATACTAATTAATAAAATTGGTCATGAATAAAATTACTCATCCTTAAACGTACTCATGAATACAATGAGTAATTAATAAGAATACTTATGGATAATATTAGTAATTAATATGACTCATTAAAATGACTAATGAATAAAATTATTCATGAATGAAATTACGGATTAATGAAATTACTAGTTATTGAAGCGTGTATGAAATTAGACACGAATAAAATAACTAATAGAAAAAAGTATGGATAATATACGCAGTAATAAAATTGCTGATAAATATCACTACTCATCAGTAAAATCTGATTTGCATTCCACACGCGACTCGTACAGACTTTGCCGTCGGCGCCCCGTACGCCGGCGCGCGTTCCCGAGGCGAGGTCTCCGTGTTCTTGGGCGGACCGCAAGGCGTGCGCGAGGGACCCTCGCAGGTGATCTCGGCCGAAGACGTGCGCGGAGCCCTCACCACCTTCGGCTTCTCGCTGGCCGGGGGTCTGGACCTGGACGGGAATGAGTACCCTGGTAGGTGGATAAGGACGACTGTGCCAGACACCGGCCTTAAATCATAGTCACGGGCAGTGTCTGATTACGTTCAAGCTTCTTGCTTCGTCATTAATTCTTAGCCCTGATACCGCAAACTCATTTATTTCTATTAATACGAAAGCGATTATAATGGACATCATAGTGTCCCATAAAACTGCCACTTTAAATTTTGACGCCAGTTTCTCCACTAACTCGAGCGGGGAAATAGGTATTACGAGACATGACGTAACGTGTCATTGCGACGTAATTCCGCCCGATCAAAAACGTCCCGTAGAAGGTTACTTTACTATAAAGCTATCGACTCAAAGACACTCAAAAGTATTACGTTTCTGGAGTGTTTTTTCCCGTAATCTTCTTGTGAGTGTTTATGGTCCCGACGCCTTTGTATGCTTCAGGCTTCTTTCTGCAGTGACTAATACCCCTTGTTCTTTCTGCAGATCTTCTTGTGGGGGCCTATGAATCTGATGCAGCAGTCTATTTGAGGTTTGTGCCTTCCTTTCTTCAATATTTTAGTCATTTTTTTTTATTATAGGCGGATGGTTACCCACTCACAATCTAAACAAATACTTCAACAATGAATGGAAAAAAAAAAATCAGACTGTACCTTTCTTTTTTACGGGATTATTTTTTTATGGGGAAAGTATTAGCAGAATAATTTTAAAACTGATTATTAAAAAAAAAAAAAAGCAAACGTGTTACTGATTGCGAGGAGCGTAGTAAAACGCTTCGTTTTTAGAGTGATACTACACAAAAACTTGAGTTATTAAATATTCAGCCCCAATGTTGAAAAGCCTCCGAGGCTTCCATCGGGCTCCCACTCCAGCAGACAAATAAGGAAATGTTTTCTCTTGCATTTTGCGGTACTCAACGTTCGGGGTCTCACTGACTTAACTACTTCCATTATTATCAAAAAGAAACTTAGCGTTATCCTTCTAAGCTGCGCAGATTAGAAACCACTTTGAAGTCAGCGACGTATGGATGCAGGAGCCGGCCCGTGGTAGACCTGGAGACGAAGCTCAAGGTGGACGGGGATAACGTGGCGCTGGACGACTCCACCTGCAGTCTGAGAGACGGGTCCCGCGTTCCCTGGTAGGTAGCTCCATGCCATACACACGTGAGATAATTTCAGTTCTTTTTTATGGTAAATCGGCCCGTATATTTTGCTTAAGAAAGTCTAATATCTAAACAAACACTCCTTCGCGGTCTGAAATATAAATTTATATTTTCTGTGATTTAAAACCAGTCACGGCAACTGGCGCTTAAACCGGTGCAGCAACTGGGTCTACGGTTTGCACGTGATGTCAGCTATGGCCAGTCTTCAACTCCGTCCTTATGACCCCGAAGACTGTGCCATATGTGTGGCGGTCTTCCTGGTTGACATCATGCCCCATAAGGTAGTCGTGCCAATAAAATTAATACGCCGATTTGATACGGCAGACTATGATGTTCAGACTGTGGGCTTTCATATTTACAGTCTGCGTCATGTGTTCTGAATCCAAAGGGAACCATTTTGTTTGAGTCTTTCTATAAGTAGTCAGCAGTTCATCGTGTTGTGGCACGGCAGTGTGAAGGAGGCCTCGGATAGGCTAAATTCTCATAGTACCCGTCCCGCAACGTAAGACCACGAATAGGAGAAGGCACATTAATTGTGGAGCGGTTAGTTGCGATTGGGAAAGAAGGGAGGAAGGAAGGAGCATATTTTATTTACAGCAGCTCATTGTCCGAGCCGCGTTTGGGAAAGAAGGCGCACGCGTTTGCCATGGTCACTGGCCGAAGACGAAAGGAGGCTGGTATTGATCCAGCCCTTGCAACAAATGTAGTGATTCGCCTTTAATAAATCGTCCTTATATCAAAGCTTTGAGATTCAGATCCATTGGTGTTTTTAGAGCGCAGCTCTTAGGCGCCCGTTTCCGGCTTGAGCGGCGTCGGCGTCGCCGTGGCCGTCCCCGTCGGTGTAACCGCGCGGTGCATCATGGGAAATGTCCCATAATGCACCGCGCGAGCCCCCCACCGGGGTCACGTGACCCCCTCCTCGAGGTCACGTGACCCTCCGAGGTCGCGTGACCCCCGCCGATGTCGCGTGACCCTCGATGACGTCATCGTCACTGACGACGTCACCGGCATCCACATCGTCATCGTCATCATCACTGATGACGTCATTAGTGACGTCACTGATGACGTCACCGGCATCCACATGGTCATCGTCATCATCACTGATGACGTCACTGGCATCCGCATCGTCATCATCACTGTTGACGTCATCAGCGACGTCACTGATGACGTCACCGACATTCGCATCGTCATCATCACTGGTGAAGTCATCAGTGACGTCACTAATGACGTCATCGGTATCCGCATCGTCATCGTCACTGATGACGTCATCAGTGACGTCAGTGATGACATCATCGGCATTGGGGGGTCACGTGACCCCCCCTGGTTAGTTGAACCCCCCCCCCCAGTACCCTTCCCTCCTCCTCCTCAAGAGCTGCGCTCTAATTCGGCGTTACAGGGAATTGTAAGCGGCTTTCACTTTTTGTCTTTCTGACACGCAGCTTCGTCGTGACCGTGTGCCTGCGCTACTCCGGCTTGGGCGTGGCACCGACACTTGGTGAGTGCAGGACCGAAAGCCCAGTAGTAAAAAAAGAATGAAGCGTACGTTCTTGGGTGATTACGTATAACTTGTTTTGGTTTGCTATAGTCAGGCTACTAGATCATCTTATTAAACGAGCCTTTACCAAAAACTTTGTACCATTCGAACAAATAACCGGGTTTATTCCACCCAGGGATTATTGCTTAAGACTGAAAAAAAAAATCATATTTGTCAAGTTTCTGTTGTCCATGCTCAACTTTCTTGGACAACACGCCTCGGTCCATGCACTAAAATGAGAATTTCAACTGAACTACAACAAACATCGCAATGTTCCCCGGGAATATTTCAGATGACAGTCAGAAAATATTAATAAGCAGTAATTAAACTTTTGAACGGGTATGGTTTTTATTCCGCGGCTCCAGAATTTTTTTGTTTGTTTTGCATTAAATCTTTAGGGTTATATAAAAAAAAAAGTTGATTTCTGGTTTTCTTGAAAAGGGATCGTAATGTTCACGAGGACTGTAATTACATGGGTACCATAAAACATAAATGAACTAGAATTTTTATATTTACTTACGAATATTTTCTTTCTCAAAATGTCCCCGAAAGTTGGCCATGGACGTACCTTGGTTATGTAGTTTCCCCAATTATGCGATCCTTCGCCTTTGATAGGTTTCGTTTCTAATACATCTATATCTATGCGGCATAAACCTAAAGGAGATACTCTGATTTTCGCTGTAAAAATGCCTCGTTGCTTGCTGTAATAGGAATTCCCCTCTCAGTAGATCTGGCAAGCTTTCCTCAGTATGCTTATGTAACAGACCATATCACAAATGTTCCGATAAAACCCTCTTGACTGGTGGGCTTGGTCCACTATGACCGGTGCTTTGACCTCCTTTGTCTGTGCTAAACAGTAATTCTACTTATCTGTGATAACCAACAGAAGCTCCCAAATACGTATGTTGGATGGCAAGCAGCACTTCTAAGGAAACGAATGTTGGGCCCTGCAGGAATCATCTACGAACTGTCGCTGGATAGCGAACCTAAAGGACCCCCGAGGGCTTATCTGCTCGAAGAAGAACACACTCACTCCAGAAACAGATCGGTGAGACTTACCAAGGACGCCCAGTACTGCAACTCGGAAACTGCCTACGTGCTGGTAAGCGCTCGTCTTAAATATAAAGCTGTGTTTCAAATAGGCTTTGGGGCATTTTATTTTAAAATAATTTTTATTTTTTTTACGCGACATCGTGAAACTCCGGCTAAAAGTGTAAAGCAGTCCATTTTGAGCGAGGGAAGCATCCACGATCAGGAAGCCACTACTAGGCTAAATCTTACTTTAAAAAAAAAGAGGAAGTTATTTTAAGGTGATTAGAAGATATTGAAAAGAAAACCCGGTACAGATTCATCTGGCGTCGCACCACAATACGTGCTGCGAATAATTTTTTTTTGTACACGCCTGAAAGTAGAGCTTGTGGGATGCTTATTTATTAGAACCGGGTTATTATTAGTGCTTCGCAGTGTACACACGCCAAACAATAAATGAGCAATAAAATCTGTGAGCAAAATTATCGTCGTGCACGACCAAAATCGTCGCTGCGGTCACCTTTCCACGATTGGCCAAACCACGGGTATAAGAGCACTGTCAGACTGTCATCTTCGACGGCGCTAAATTCGGAATGCGATGGCTCCTAGCTTTCACCGTGCTTTTAAAAGCACACCATCGAGCTTGCCGTCGCAACTGATGGTAAGTAGTCAGGGTACCACTCGTGACGTCATGGCGAGACAAACAGTCATGACGTCACGGATGGAAATCGTAAGAGGGTGCCACCGAAACATCTCGAGGCTAATAGTGCTGTTACATTAGTTGCGGCCATACCTAATCCGATCTCCCAAAGAAAGATCTACAGCATACTAGAAAAAACTTGAAAAGAACAATCTTTACTTCTTTTGATGTTGTTGGCTACTCCGCTGCTAATTCGTGTTTTCTTTTTATCAGGTGACCCCTGAATTTTCATTAGCAGACCAATGAGATAACATTGGAAAACTCAACATGTTGCTGTTCTAGATATATGTCTAACTGTAATTATTTTCGATATACACAGCGCAGCGGTTAATTGAAACAGTTGGCGCATGAAAGTAACTGACGTACCCAAAGTCTATAGACGCTTTGCAGCAGCTGTGCATGGGCGCCGCCATAACTGACCTTCAGTTTTTGTTTCCTTTTATTTAATTTTCTTCACTTCACCATTACCATAGCAGACCAGGTTATTGCCATCTTAAATTCTATTGCTTCCTTCTACTCAGCATTGGCCTTTCTGGAGGCTCGTCAACACCCATTTCAGTGGCTCGGTATCTCCATAAGACAAAAGAAGGTCAGCAATGGCGGCTGCAATCTGGCGCGTGTGTAAAGCGTCTATAATAATTTATACAAAACACTCACGGCTTTATCAAGCCCCCCGGAGACGCAAGATGCTTAAGCTGTCGACCAATGTCGCATTCAAATGGCGAAACCTTATATTTGTTTTATAGCCAGACACAAATCACCCTCAGTGTCAACGTCAGGTCGTTTTTTGTTTGGTTGGATTATCTTTATGGTTGTCAGATTTAACGCCCCTTTTTGGAGTTAATGCCACATTGTCTGCAAATTCCTTGCGCAGAAAGCCATCCGAGACAAGCTGTCTCCCATCAGAGTGCGTGTGCGGTCGTCGCTTGTACAAACGGTGTCCTCCCAGTCACTACTGCTTCCTGTGCTCAACGCTTCCAGACCTAGCAACGTCACACATCAGGTGGGCGTCGCCCTGTCTTTTCTCACAACAGCCGTTTCTTAATTCCCGGTGGAAAACACGGTAACCCACCCTGATCTCATAAGTGACAGCGGGTCAGACGATAATGTTGTGATCCTTGAATCTTCAATAGCCCCCTCTGCTCTCTTCAGGTTCACATTCGAAAGAACTGCGGCGGCGATGGGGTGTGCGTGCCAGATCTACGACTTAAGGCCACTGCGTAAGTTCAAGTGTACCCGCGACTAGTCACAAGCCATCGAACTTAAAAGATGCGGAGTTAATAACATATCTAAGCACATACCTAATAGAAGGGTGTGTACTATCGTGGACACTGTTAGCTATAACACTGCATCGGCGGCCGCCCCGTACCCCCAGCGCTCCATAGCAGGCGCCGTCCGAAACTCCGCGCATGCGCCGGGTGGCGGACTTGCTCTTCCCGCCTGCGAGCACACCCTCGCTTTGTCGTCTGCTAGGCACAAAGCAGACAACGCCACAGCGGTCGCCAATTTTCGATGAACATGGTTCAGCGAACCACCGTGTAAGAGGTGCGCACGGTTGATTCCCTGACTCCGCTGGCTAAGGATAATAATCGTATACTAAATGTAACATCACGGTAGATTAAATTTTTTTATGAGACAAACTTGCAGTTATAATCCGTTTCTCTTTAGGTCTAAGCGCTGCGGACGCTACGAGACGATATGACCCACCAAGCAGCGACAAAAGCACTTTTTGCACTTTATTGGGTCCCCCGGTGATGCACTCCGTGACGTTGCATCTTTGCCGCTATTTGATTGGCTCTGTCGTAATGAAGCGTACGCTGCGGTCGGACTTAAGGTGAAATGGAGTATAACAGTCTATTTCTGTATCACACCTGCTGCTTTCATACTGGTTTGCGAACGCATATCGGTAAAAATGCTGTTTGTGAAAAAGCAAAAAAAAAAAAAATCTTAAACAGGGGTTATGCCGTAATGACTCTGAAATCTGCCCCAATACAAATCGCCGGTTGAAAATGAGTTTGAGACCAGTTCGCTATAGCGAGCGTACCAGACGAGCAGCACTGTAGCATCGCCTGCTCTGCGCTAAGCAGACGGCAAAGCGAGGGTGTGCTCGCAAACGGGAAGAGCGAGTCCGCCGCACGGCGCATGCGCGGAGTTTCGGACGGCGCCTGCTATGGGGCGCTGGGGGTACGGGACGGCCGCCGCTGCCGTGTTATAGCTAAAAGTGTCCACGATAGTACGTTATCTTTTTACATTTCTGAATAAAGAGGTGCTGAATAAAACCGAACAGTTACAGCTGGTTAGGCTGTTGATAAGATACACGAGAGATAGAGAGAAGGAGAGAAAGAGAGAGAGACAAGGAAAGAGAGAGCGAGGAAGAGATACAGAAATGAAATTACGAAAGTTATTTGACTTATGTTTCGACTGGCATATTAATGATTCCCTTATTCATTAGAGAAAAATGAAGTCGTTTTATTTTCCAGGTGTAGATGACGAAGATGATCGATTGGAGAGTTCCGATTTTTCTTTTTTTAATTCTGTTAATAAACACGTCTATCTAATTTGTTCAAATGTAAAAGTGATCCCTACCAGGACATTATCAGTCTATAATAAGGACAAGTTCTAACAAGTCCAGTTCTTCAGACAGAATTTTTCAAAACTGGTATTGGGGTCTTTTTTGATGAGGAATTGGAATGATGTGGCCGCATTATAGTATAGCTTTAACAACCACAACACCCGGTTCCCTTATTTCGGAAGCATGAGCACCCTGCTGCTCAGCTAAACCCGTCAGGCTTTTGCTAACGCACCATGACCGCAACGAGACTCCAGCTGACTTGTCTTGTCCAGGAACATGGACGAGTTCCTGATCGGCAGCACAGGCAACGTTGAGCTCAGCGTCAGCATCGACAACCGAGGGGAGGACGCTTTCGAGTCTATGATGTACCTCAGGTTCCCTAGCGATCTCAGCTACGTGAAGGTGGACAAGGGCAAGCTGGTGAGTTCTGCGCTGCAGCGATTGGCACATGCCCGTACGATGGGAGATTTGGGAGGCATGCGGTTTAGAGAAGCTCGTTTTAGTGAACGCCGTTTTACCAACCCCAGGTTATCGAATCCCTTTATAGAGAAACCCAGTCTAGAGAAAATGGCGATGAGCCTCCCTTTAACGAATTCGGACGCCGCGAAGTGGTGTGTACGGATGGAGCAGGTGAGCTCAGATTTTCGTAATGAGCCATCGCAGACTGCCGCCGCGAAGCGCCGTAAACGCGGGGGTGGGCAGGGGGGGGGGGGGGGGGGTGATAATGCTTACGTTGCAAAGCAGCCGACTCTTCCAGTGACATGAGATGTTCTAGAGAAGGGTCCTCGTGATCTATGCTTTTTGCATGTTCACCGTTATGCGAGTAACACCTTAACTTTTGATTTGCATATAAAACAATTTTGTGCCCACGGTTGATATATTAACAAAATATAAAGCGCCACCGTTCCGGCAGTTGTTAATTGAACCAAAGCAAGCACACTCTCTCTGCCCTGCCTCAGAATTCCATTGGCTGAACAGGCATGGAAAAAATATATCTTCATACGGTAGCTTTTTGCTTTCCTGACATTTTTTATAGCAGCATTATAATAAAGGTCTCTTATTTTAAAGGTATATTTGATGGCAAGAAGCCCAAGCTAATAGCTTTAGCTTTAGCAGTCGCTCCTGCAGAGCGAGATTTTGTACAGCCGAGCTGCCTCCTTGAACAGAGAACTCGCACTCGTAGCCTAAGCGGCATTGTCGTTTTGATTTGATTTACACGACAAAGGACAGACAAGCAAATATCTAAACAAAGCAATACTCAGTCAAAAAAAAAAAAAAAAAGAGTGGTTTGAAGTTTTTGAACACGTTATATGAGCAGAGCTCCTTGTCGAGTGGCAATGGAGCGCTCGAGCCATGGGAAGAGGGCCTGCAGCCGGGGATGCTTGATGGCCCCATCCCAAAGAGTCGCGGACGCGTGTTTGAGACCCCTGCTCTAGTGGGACTTGGGCATGAAAGGCGCATATGTAGCCTTTGGGGGCGGCAATCGGATTAGTGTGTCGTCGCCAGTGTGTTGTGCGTGTGTGTCATCTGTGTTCTAATTCTTTGTCTATATTAAACGTGTAATACGTGTGGAAATGTGAAATAAGGACTTAAAATGTGCATGCAATCAGTGTAAAGAAATCTATCCCGGCAATGATAAATGTATTGCCAATTTTGAATTTCACGTTGACTAGCGCCACCTAAGTTTGTAAGGGCGCAATTGGTAATAAATAAGGTAAGGGCGAGACATTTTGTCCCAGTGGCCCAAACGCAAAGGGTGCAAAGGTTAGTCCTGGGGGTTAAACTTTGAGGGACTAACGGGTGGGGCGCAAGAGTTGCTCCAGTCCTCGCTAGCCCCCTGGGGACTAACGGTGGTGGCAGCGCATTTGTTTTTTGGAGGGACAGAATACCGCTCCCATTTTTCTTAGAGTGTAGCGGTATATTAAAGGGCACCCCTGAAGTGAATAAGCGCCCTTACGCCTATCGTTTTTACGCTACAGGACGCCGTGACGTGCGGTGGTCCACAAAAGCAGGCCTCTGGTGACAGTCACCTGGCGTGCGACGTGCAAAACCCTCTGCCAGCAGGAAAAAAGGTCTGTACCCAAGAGAGCCAATGATGGCTTACGCGACATCTGCCTACAGTAGGCCAAAACGTTTAGATAGACGAGCACGATCGAGGCGTTTGTGTATGATTGCCTCCCTAAGTGCGAAACGATTCAGGGGGATCACGATGTATAGAAAAGTATATGTAAAAATGCATTGTCCATCAAAGTACGCACGCAATTCTGGACAAATATGATGCGAGTGTGGGAGCCCCGTTTGTAAGGATCTTTAGCTTTGGTTGACACCTAAAGCACGTTCGGAGTCCGGTTAGAGGAAGAAATATTTCCAAGCAGATCTGTACTTTATTTCCTGCAATGCAATGAAAAATATATTTAGAGTTCGTGTTTATACAGCGGATGGTCGGTCTGCCTTTGAGATGCGGCAACGTTGGCTTACGCAATAGATTAAAAAAAAGTAAAAGCCGTTTACAACTCCCTGTAACGCCGAATTTGAGCGCAGCTCTTGAGGAGGAGGAGGGAAGGGTACTAAGGGGGTGGGTCACGTGACCTTGGGGGGTCACGTGACGATGCCGACGACGTCATCAGTGACGATAACGATGCGGATACCGATGACGTCATCAGTGATGATGACGATGACGATGCGGATGCCGGTGACGTCATAAGTGACGTCACTGATGACGATGCAGATGCCGGTGACGTCATCAGTGACGTCACTGATGACGTTATCGCATCGTCATCAGTGATGATGACGATGACGATGCGGATGACGGTGACGTTATCAGTGACGTCACCGACACGTGACCCCCCCCCCCGAGGTCACGTGACCTCGGTGTGGTCACGTGACATCGGGGGGGGGGGGGGGGGTCACGTGACCCTGAGGGGGGTCACGTGACTTCGGGGGTCACGTGACTTGGGGAGTCACGTGACCTTGGGATGACCTTGGGGGTCACGTGACCGTGCGGTGACCTTGGGGGTCACGTGACCTTGGGGTGACCTTGGTTACGCCGACGCCGACGGCGACGCCGCTCAAGCCGGGAACGGACCCCTAAGAGCTGCGCTCTAAAATTCAGCCAGTGCAGTACAACCGCTAGCCTGGGGCCTTTAACGCGCATCACGCAGTAGTGATCCACGACCGCACGCCGGTATGGTGCTCATCCAGATCGAAACGGGCAAGGGTAAGGATTGAACCCAGGATCATTGGGTTCTGCAGCGCGAGCTTTCACTCCGCGTGCTCCGAGCTGGTGCTCGCTAGCCCATTCGGCCACTGTTCTCTTGTTTGTTTTTTAGTGCCGGCCACTGTTTCCCCCACGCAACAAAATCTAATACCCCTGTCAGACGGGCACGTTAGATGACATTTAAGCAAAATGACATTATAGCTCGGCCAATCCGCGTGTTTACTACGCCACGCTGCGCGTACACGCGCCACGTGCAGAACCAGGACCACGAGCTGATTCGCCGAGCGGTGAATGACATTCGATCAAAAAGACATTTACTTACCTGTCTGACAGGGGTATTAAACGACAACTACCACAACCCACAAAATTCTAGAAGTAGAGAAAAAAAGGGGGGAAAGAACAACACAAGCAAGAACAACCACAACAGCAACAACAAAAAAGCAGCTGAGCTGGCCTAGTCGCACCAAGAAAACGGACGATATATGTTTTTCTATGACCAAAACAGCGTCCATTCAGTTTTATGTGGTCTTCTTTGCACATCTTCAGGTGCGCTTCAAGGTGCTTCTTGCCCCGGCAGGACCGGTACCCAAGGCCTCGGAACTTAACCTTACCGTGGTCGTTAACAGGTGAAGAATATACTCACTCTCTTCGGCTCTAACTAAAGTCATGTCCTCACCTAATTACCAACACGTATTCCCTCTTTGACAAAATCTGAGTATATGTCACGAGATAAGTCAGATGTGAGTAAGCTGCGGATTTTTGGGAGTTGACGTTGTGACCCTCTAGATAATATTAATAATATTTATATAACTATTACTTTATTCAGATTACAAAATAATTGTGAGAATCTCTTCTAAAACCAACTGGAATCCAGAATAAGTTCTCGTAGAAATACTTAAATAATTGACAAACTGAAAGCGCGACAAATATACTTTCAGTTTGCATAATTATATTTGTGTGAAGCGCAGGAACCCAGCCGGTGAAAGGTTCTGCTCGCAGTTTAGTACGAATTACGTCATTGTAATCTGCCAAGCAAACTCCTAACTTCAATACAATCTTCTTCTCATGCTCGTTTCACATGAATAATCGCTATTTTTTGGCCGCCACATTTGTGTTCGTTGCTCCTTGGCGCATGCTGACAACGAGTTTTTTTTTCAGCTTCCTGAACGGTGTTGGATGCTTCATAGTCAAGCATGCGCATTATTATGTTGGCCCGTTTCTTTTTTTTTGTTTCTGGAGTTAATTTTAACTTAATGTAAATTCACTTGCTGTAGGCAGGCATCAAATGTGGTTATCAGAAGATATAATGAAAGTTTGCTTTGAGTGTGTGGTGAAAAGCATAGCACTAAATTACGAGGATTAATAAATACCCGCGACTGTGAACTGTTTCTTTTATTTCATATAAAATGGTCTTAAATTCATCCGAAACACTTTTGAAACGGCAATTTCGCCTCGTGTTAAAACCTGTTAGTGTGGGTCCCGGCTATGAATAGTTGCATGAACGTCAGGAAAGGCAGAGTAAGACTGGAAACTGACCACTTTCTTTTTTGTTTCCAGCACCAATCCCGAGGTCACCGAAGCTACGGGGGATAACAGTGTCACGCTGCGACTGCCTGTGATGGTGAAGGTGAACATGACAGCTCGCGGGTGAGGCCAATGGGAATGACGTGGTTCATTCATCAGCAGAATGCAGGCGTCCACACAATACGTATAACAAACATTACCTGGTGCCCCGCAGCACGTCCTTTCCTCCGGAGGTGTACCTCAACGCCTCCCTCATCGAGGACAAGGAAGTGCAGCAGGCTGCAGACATCGGACCTCCCGTCAAACATGTGTACGAGGTACGGTCATTCACTCGAGCAACCTTTCCATTCCCTACAGGTCAATCAAAACACGCTGAGAAAAAGTAAAGGTTTTTGAGGTGTAGCCCGCTTCCGTTTTCTCTTGAGTCTTCAGAATGATTCCTAGTCAAGATGTCCAAGGAGTCCATAGATATAGACACGATGTTGATGATGACACTGGATCTCTGAACTTGTTTGATATCATGTCTCGTAGGTTTTCTTGACTTATCTTGAGTCTCATAACTTATTGAATCTATTGACACGTTAGATACCTGGACTCGGTAGACCTCTTGATTAGGTTGGCTTTGAATTGGCAGAGATATGAACGTGAAACGTTCTTCGGCTTGTTGCTCCGGATTTCGTGAAGGGGCATTTCATAAAGCCGTGGCCCGTGACATCCCAGAATGCGACGCGAGCTCACTGTTGCATTACGGTACATCACAGACGAACACACCAATTCAGTTTCTCCGCTAAATTTAGCGGCAAAGTCGGATCGGTGCATAGGTCAACTGACATCAGGCCACGTGACGTCAATTTCCCCGCTAGATTTAGCGGGACGATTAACGTCCCACGGCCTATACACCAATTCAGTTTCCCCGCTAAACCTGGCGGGGAAAGTGACGTCATGTGATTTATGCGGCAATTTAGTTTCTGCTCTAAATTTAGCGGGAAAATTAAAGTCACGGGGCTTACACATCAATTCAGTTTTCCCGCTAAATTTAGCGAGGAAACTGATATCACGCGATGGTAGAACGCTTCACGTACGCAACACAATTGCCGAGCAATTCGTCATACAATTTTTTTTTTCAGAAGTCAATTTGAACGCTTTTGAAATCCCTCCTCAACTTGAGATTGTTCCTCCTCGAATGGTTTTCTGGCGGCGCTACACGATATCTGCGCGTGTTACGTGCCACCACAACACTACAAAAGGAGGAAGTAGTGTATGCACCGTTTCACTTTCGACACTGCGATTTTAATTGGGCCAATCACGCGGGGCCATAAGTGTTCGTGTCACGGGGTCGATTTCTTTGGCGTGTTTGCTATGATCAGCCGAACCAATCAGAGGCACAGAAAAAAAAATGCAGGATCTTGACGCACTGACTGAGCGTGATTGGGCTGTTAGTCGGCGATAGCGAACGCACTAAGGCAACGCCACCTAGAATAATGAAAGCCTCCACAGGGCCTCCACTCCCTTTATGAAACGTCATCACAGTCGGGCCGCGCTAACTCGGCTATTGGGCACGAGCCCAACCTTCGACGCGTTGATTGGACACGAGCCCCAGCCGAACACTGACTCGATCGATGTGACTGTGATGACGCGCGCGAAGGCCTTCTGTTTAGATGGGTGTCGACTAAGGCGACGTACGCCGTGACGATGCACTTTTTGTTCTGATTCATTGGCTCCGTTGGTTGGAAGCGATCGGCAGTGGTCGTACTTCATCTGAAACGGAGTATACGGCGAGCAAGTGTTCCAAAATGCGTCTTTCGCGCATCGGAACGCAAGGAGGAGGGGCACGCCAATCAAAGTTCAACATTGATAACGAGAAGCTCAACTTGAGATTGGTTGTCCGTTCGTTGGCTGGAAACATGAAAGCCTCTTCCTGAAATTTCCTTCCGTCAAGGATTACAGAAACATTGTCTGAAATTGAAGGCCCTTGTTATATCAATAATATAGCTTTCGAATCCTGACGCATGAACACAGGGTACCATACTTCGCCTCGGTTGTTAATCAGAGGCGGTCCCAGGCATTGGTTCAAGGGGGGAAGGGGGTGCGATAATTTCGGCGGCCGGAGCGGCCATGAAAGTGGCGGCGGACGGCGCCCAGGAGATTATGTCGCGGCCGTCGCCGCCGTGGCACATGGCGCCGCCTAAACCAGAAAGATATCGAAGCGACGGCTACCATTCTTATCTAAAGAAAAACGATCTAATTTGAAATAATTAGCGAGGTATGGCTGGTGTGCATCGTCGATGTCAACTGGGCACTTCCAGTGAACAAGAGTGCTCCCGTATCCTTCAAAGAAATGTAAAAAAAGAAAAACTACGAGCGAAGGGTTTTTGGAGGGGGTGATCGCCCCCTTAGCCCCCCCCCCCCCCCCTTCCCACTTCTCAGGACCGCCACTGTGTTAATATAAACATTTATTCGGACAGTTTCCAAACAGGCTGTGTGGTTTTACAAAACCGCTTGCGCAAGTTCACACACACACACACACACACACACACACACACACACACACACACACACACACACACACACACACACGCGCGCGCGTGCGCACGCGCACACACGCACGCACCTACGCACACACGCACGCACACACGCACAATTGTTTCGTTCTTGTATTTGCAACACACAGTTCCAATTTTATGTCTTCGTCGGTCATGGCAGCTGAAAGTTTAGGAATGGCACATTTGACTGCAGAAAAGAGGGGCTGGTTAGGGCCGGCGATTTTAAAGGTGGTAGCTAAATGTAAACATACCTTCGTTGTACAGTTTTTTGCGTCTCGCTAACAGTTTCCCCACATAATTATCGCAAAACGCTGTGTTTCTGTGAGATAATATAATATGATGGGAAAGGGGGGGGGGTTGAATCAATCTATATTTCAGTTCACGTGACGTGGGAGCAGAGCCCGACGAGCCAAGAAAATAATGAAATGCGGATATTTCGGCATAGGACGTTTCGGTGCAAAACGTTTCGGTATGGACTCTTCGGTGTACGGACATTAAGGTGCTCTGGCATTTCGATGTACGGACCTTGAGGTGTACCACCTACACCGAAAAGTCATACACCTAAAGGTTCTAGACCCTGTAAGGCACATTTTTAGTTGGAAGAGATTCTGAACAATTTTGTGTCGGACGACTTCGAAATAGAGTCCCGTGTCCCGCAATCGCGCCAATAAAAAAACACTGTACAAAAACAATTTTTTTAGCTGTTGAGATAGGACCTTGATGTCGCACACACACAGAAACAAAAACCTTTTTTTCTACGAAAAAAAAAGAGTAGCTCAAAATCTACGTCGCGAGACTCACTTTGATTTAATAACTAGAAGTATGCATGTTTTGAAATCGCTGAATCGAGCCTCGACATATCATTATTAGAGGCGACACTTTATATATATATATATATATATATATATATATATATATATATATATATATATATATTTTTTTTTTTTTTTTTTGGGGGGGGGGGATTTAATTTAGTTCAGTTGAGTGTTACTTTAGCAAAATGAGTATGGTGCGATAGTGATGCGGAAACATGTAGCGCTCTGTTCTCGTCAAAACTTTCTCCAGATATCTAGAAGTTCACGTCCCCGTTGAGGTTGAGCTAAAACAAAACTTGATTCCCAGTGGCATACCATCCATCCACGTCGCCGATATCAAAGAAACTGAGATGCCGTTCAGCCCAAAATGAGCTACAACCAAAACTCGTTGCGAAATCAACATAAAAAAGGACAGTTTATTTGATTGTGATGTAAGGCAAAAAAAAGAACAACAACAACAACAAGTGTTTACTTACATATACATATTTTATTCACATAAAATATAAAATATTTGATATATTGTCGATGGCGTTGGTTGTAATCAAGGCATGCGTACCAGCGGCGTCGCTTTGGTGGTTGCTTGGCAGGTGATTAACCGTGGGCCCAGCGTGGTTCGCGAGGCCGAGATTTACCTGGTGTGGCCCACGCACAACATCCACGGGGACCCGCTTCTCTACCTCCTCGAGCCTCCCGTGCTCCAGGGCGCCGGCCCCAACGCCAAGCGGAGACCCTGCGACGTCGTCTCACCAAGAGCGCCAGGCGAGGCGGTCGACCCCAAGCGATTAGCGGTCAGTGGTTCGCGCTTCAGATCCATGCCACGGTTGCTCGGTTCCATACCGCGCGCTTCTCCTGTTTCACAAGGCTCTTTAAATGGGTAGTGCGACGATTTTAATGTCGAAAGAATTTGCAGTTTGTAATTTTTATATATAGTTTTTTTTATCTAGGCACAAGTGACAAGAAATGATTCACCTTGCCCCGAAAAACTGCTATTCAGCTGCGTTTAATTATTTTGTCGACATGCAGCCGCGTGTGGCGTTTACGGAAACTACAGTGACAAAAAAAAACTGTTTCGCTCCACTAATACACTCGCCGTCAGCCCCGTGGCGAACCGTGTTTTGTGTCGATTGCTCGCCGCGTCCTTTCACGACGCTGATCCTTGAAAAGTCGGCAATCGCCGAGAAAGTGCCTGGGGTTTCTGAAGAAAGAACCCATCGGGAAACCAGGTGGTCCCCCCATAGTGCGTCACTCGAAAGACGACGAGAGAGTTGCGAGGTACTTTGACCTTCGATTTGTTTAATTTTCTTTTAAAAATAAAATCTAGCGCGCGTATGAAAATACGGTTTTCGGTTCTTCGTTCTATAGGTGACATAGATTCATTCCCCAGTGAATTGGTCAAGGTCCGAAAATCGTTGCACCGACCCTTTAAACGCAGGATTGCATTCTTTATGAACATAATTCAAATTTAGTCTCCAAAAAGGTGGCCAAGGCGTGCAAGGTCAAAAATGGTCGAAGTGAGTTGGCCGGCTGCTAAACACCTGTAAAACAACTAACAGAAAAAAAAACACAAACAGCAGGAAAGGCAGGAGAGAGGACTCCGAGACGCTTTGAAAAGTGTTTGCCAGCTACGACGATTTAGAAAAACAAGAGAAAAAAAATAAACGGCACAAAATGAGGACCTGGCGCACGCTGCATTCTTGCCAAGAGCTCTCATTGTTTACACAGGCAGTGTGCTGGTCATCATCATCATCAGCCCCGGCTCCTCTCGGTGAAATTTGAACGTACTCCAATCGCTCCTCTAGGAGATGGTTAGCGCTCGAAACAAACTGTCGTATTTTGCTCCGCGTCTCATCTTACCCCGCCTTACCCTAAATAATTACTCGAAGCAAACTGTCGTGGCACCTTGGGAAACACTCATACAGCACGTTTTATATATGCTCGCATAAAAATACAACTCGTAGGGTCAAGCAACCACTCTGCGGTCTACTAAATCCACTGTATAACAAAGTATGCCATCCTGCGCATGTGACAAGATGATTAATTGAACTGCGCCAAAGCGAATGTTGCAAACGCACATACAGAAATTTTTATATACTTTTATAAAAGTACCACTCATGGGGGCAAGCAGTCAGTATGCGTTATACTAGATCGACCGCATAACTAGAGTGAATCATCCTGTAAACATTACAAAACTATTAATTAAGCTACGCGAGAAAAAAAAAGAAAACAAAAGGCGATGTGGTAACGCAACCGCGTGAGGATGGAAGGAGAAAGCGAGAAGAACGGGGTCAGAAAAAAAAAAAAAAAGGGGGGGGGGGGAAACCGCAGACCGAAAATATTCTTTCCCAGTGGACGGGAAAAAAAGTGAAAGATAGGGCACAGAAGCTCTCCAAGTGGCCGACACCACAGTGGTAGCAGAGGAGTTCGGCGAACCTCGCCCGCACCCACTCGGCGTTATCCGCAGGAGACGTTTCCACGACGAAACAAGACACCAGAAGGTCACCGGGTGCTGCACTCCCGTAAGCTACACGCTTCCCAGAGCAGCCAGAGGTTGACGTGTGTCGGGCGACTGGCAGCGGTTCGCGATAAAGGGCCACATGGCCCCACCACCACTCCCCGGCTGCCAACCACCGAGCATAATCAATACCAACTAGAACACAAGGCCTGCGCGTGACGTCGTCGTACGTGGCTCCCCGATCACACCCCCAGGCTGTAAACAGGCTGAAGCTTGCTGAGGGTAGCCGCCAAGCGACAGACGCGTTTGTTTTGGCGTCGTTGTATGCTAGCGTTGCGCCCTTTGCGAGACGCTGCGGGACGCTGCGGTACGGACCCAGAGTCGGGTGTGTCGATGTGTAAAATGGAACGGCAGGAGTTGGTGCAGAGGCACGTCCCACCGGAAGTGAGGCCATTGCTACTGGTTTTTTGTTTTGTATACAAAGTAAATCTTTGAAATACGAGTCTCAGAGTGCCACTGACCTTGCAAGATTATTTGATACGCACACCACCAGGACGCTAAATATGGTGTCCCATGTCGAGAAAACCGGTCTGTGAGTAAATGATAAATTTGCTGCGGCTGGGTTCGCTCGTATTACACTAGATTTTGTTCTCGTAATTTATGTGATATCGTTTGAACGTACATGGCTAGTTTTCTTATGCGACAGTAGGTTGATAGCTTTTGGCTCAATGCGCAGGCTAATTCCAGAAGACCCCGCGATGCTGACGATTCTTCGGGTGCCAGGATTCCACGAGACGCGAGCGAACTAGAACTCGAGGACGAAGTGGTGAGTGGGCATGTTCGCTTTGGCGGGAAAATAATTTTATTTACTCGGAAACATTAGGTACACCTTACACCTTTTGGTGTGATCGACAATATCCCGACTTCCTGTCGCTGCAGTCTAAAAGAGTTCGTGTAAAACACGTACCTTTTTCGGTGTAGGAGTGAGATAACCTTAGATAAAATGTGTATTTTGTTGTAGTCATACACAAAACGTTTAAATGTCTTCCCCTTTATAAGTCCTCTCCTCGAAGAGCGATTTCGAACGTCCTTTGAAAAAACTAATGTATTTCTGTACACGATCTTTAGAATTCAAAAGAAGCGGAACACTTTTGGAGACGGAATTCGTGTCCAAATCCAGACACATTCTAAAAAAAAAAAAATTTTTGGTGTTAATATATTTTAAACGAGCTCTTAAAATGAAATGAAATGTCTTTATGTAATGTTCATTGAAATAAACTAGAACCAATGTTTATTGCATACATAGGCAAATTACACCTCAATTTTATTTGACATGGTGCATCGTTGTGTTAAGGGGTGTGCATTTTCAAGGGAACGTAATGGGACGTGAATTTACAAACAAACTATAAAAGGTGTGGAATATTTCTTCCTATATTTACTTTCCTTTTCCTTTTATTAACACTTTACTCTTTCTTCTTCATCAGTTCTTCCCCTTCTCGATCGAAGTGCCACGCCAGACAGAAAAGCACCTGCTAATTCTATCCTAGTAAAATTACTACAGCATTACAACGCGAGTATCCTCGCGATATTAAATTTGCTTGTACGACTAGGCATAATTCACCTCAACAGAGGAGGCTATTAATAAGACTCCAAGAGCAGTGTCGGACATTGTGTTCACTATATAGAGAAAAGTCTGCCCTCTTGTTGCCTCCCGTATTCTTGTTATGATTCCGTTTGCTTTTGCTAGTCAAGTTGTACAAAAAGCATGATTCTACGTTTGCTTAGGGTTGCGGCGACCTTCCCCGTTGCGCGGTGTTCCGCTGTTTCACGGGCCAACTGACGGCCGGCGAGCGGTCGGTAGTGACCGCCGAGTCCCGGCTCTGGCAGCGAACGCCGGCCTCGATGGGCCAGGAACACATGCGGATCTCCTCCAAGCTGGTGGCACGCGTCACCCGCCTCTTGTACGACCTGCCAGTCACCAGCATCAAGCACACCGTACACTTCGTGAGTTGTCCTAGCTTCGATGTCGCACAGACGAGAGACATTTCGTCGACAGACACACGCGAACTGCCCAGTTGAGATGCTCCAACCAAACTGAGACGTACAACCGCACTGGAAGTCTAAATCCGGTTCACACATACATTGTGGCACTAAATCGACGCTTTAGAATATCGCTGATGCAGCACTTGAACGTAACTTAGCAGAGGTGCACTGCTATGTTACGTTACTGCGTGTATACGAATGAAGGCAAGCACTGTGCGTTTGCGTTAGCGTTGCGTGCTCCACACTGGGCATGCGTTGTGCCCAAACTGCGGTCTTGAATGGCCGTATGGCGACGACGAGCATGCATGCGCAGCAGGGAGCACGCAGTGATTGCGTTTGCTCCGATACGCAATACTCAAACTTTCTACTAATATTGAGAGCGTGTACGACAGCATCTGCGTTACGTCGCATAGTGATGCGCTGCCCATTCCGCGATCTTTTATAGTACTCCGCCCGGAGCGTCTTGGTGGCGTTTGCGCCTCCCCGCGGCCGTGTTTCTCGATCTCTCTCTGGAGTAAAGTTTTGTCAGCTATACATACAAAAACATATCCATGTCTAGCGTTTATCTTTTTTTTTTTTGTTTTCGTTATTAGGTTAGTAGGAGTATTCGGGCAGACGTTAGCGACAACAACGGCCACTCACCGGCATGCTTTTCGTTTTTATGTGCTGGACTATGCCTCTCCGAGGCACTTGTGTTCGATGGTTCGAAAATTCCCAAAGGGCAATATTCACCAGTGCCAGCAATTGACAAAATCTACACGTGAAGTATTTTTCCCCCTCGTAATATCACATTACTCGTCGCTCCCTGGCGAATCGAGTAGACGTACTGGGATTGAGATGATAGAGGCCATTCCCTCCAGCTCATAGAGGGGATCCGTGTTCTCAATTTCGAGGTGTTGTATTAAAAAAAATACAAAAAAAAATAACGATAGCGCTTTTTGTGACCTCAGACGTGTTGTATAGTGCTGTGCACAAATAAGCTGGCATTGATTAGAAACTAAAGGCGCATGCTACAGGATATCTATGTGAAATGCTTCTGCTAGGAGCCGCGCCGTGGCGCCAGTGTCTTATCGCACGCTTCCAATAGCGTGAGTTTAGTGCTGCATCAGCAAGGTCAGCGCTATTCCCAAAGCTGACAAATGGCACTGCGTTAGGGTTGGTGCGCATATGTGAACAGGCCTCAAAGATTTGTTCACACATACACCGCTGAGCAAGCACAGCGATATAGACAAGGCGCTGATTTTGCGTTATCTTAGCTCTGAGATGAATGAGTGAATCGACCTCAATCTGGATTAAATTGTTCAGCATAGTTACAAAATTTATCTCAACTTATAATCAAACCAAACTGGAAAGTACAGCCGGATTTGATTTTTTTTAAGCCAACTTAAAGCTCCAGTCATATGCAGACTTTATTGAAATATATGCAATTCTCGCAGAACGTCCAGACAGCCGATTCCTGTGCTATATTCGGCGAAGTAGTGCTTGAACACAGCCTCCTGTATACTGGTAATGCCCGCCCAATCGCCGGTTGCCAGCTACAACCGCAAGAATACGACACCTTCCCATACAGTACAGAAAACGTGAGCGACCTGAACGGCCTGAGTAAGCCCCTTTAGTGCGTTCTTGCATTCTTGCTGTTTTGCGCATTTATAATAGCAGGCGTAGATTGCACTTAGGCCATTAGTTCTTTTTTTTTGTTTTTTGTTTACCACGCTTTTCGTCGCGTTTTAGGCAGAGCAAAATTTGAGGAATGCCTGCGGTCCAAAATATACCTGCTGCTAGTCAAAAGTACGCAATAGGCACTTTTTTGTGACTAACATTTGGAAATCCTGTGTAGACAGTCCTTTATTAATGTCCGCTTGAGTGAAGCCTTTGCATCCTGCTGAGGCTTCCCTTAAAGCTCAGCTTGGTTCGGGTCTCCCTGTTTTCAAAGCTGTATAAGCCCATGTACGGCCGATTTCGGCGCTGCTTGACGGGCTGACCCGCCCAGCTCTCGTTCATGCACCTCGAGCAAGTGACTGGCACCCTACGACACGCACAGTACGTCATTACGAAACGTGAGCCCCGGCGCTGCGAAGACCTTCTACACTGCTTAGGGGACATTTGAGCGGTTGCAACCCCAGAGGGCCATGGCCGTCGCAATTCCTCGTCATCTCCCGCTCTTCGCCGGGGCCTTGACATCAAGCCCTCAGCAATAGAGACTTTCAGTGTTCGCTGTTTTGACATTGCGAAAGTTTACCAGCTCGGCTATCTAGCAATAATTCGCGTTTGGTCATATTTACCGTCGACTATATTTATTCGGTATTAGAAACTACAATCAGCACGGAATGAAACCCGAACGCCGGAACGCGTGGCCATCGATACAGGCTGCTCCACCTGGAGGGCCCCTGAGAACTAATGAATATGCACCTGGGTGCGAGGGTGCGGGTCCTACTAAGATATCCTCAACCCTCGCGCTGGGCGTCTGGGACTTTCGCGTTTCGCCGGTGGCGCGCTGTAACCGTCGTCACTCGGGGGGCTCTTCTGTCGCCGCACTGTCGCCCGGTCGACACCGGGCAGCCGCTTAACCTGGCTATAGCTGTTTGCGATAGGCCCTGCTTAGACAAGGTAATGAATTTATTCCACTCCGGAATTGATACGCCTGGCATATCGGTGGTTACCGAAGAGAACCTCAGCGAGCAATTTCTCGATTTTTGTAAGAATCGACTGATAACCTCGAACGAAAAAATGCGCATTGCTCGTAAAACCGAGGCATCCGCGTCGGTCTGTTGCAGCATTTTTTTTTTCATAAAGAATATGGGTGTGCGAATAAACGAAATTTATTTCGCGTTTATGAGGTTTCACTATTTCTCAGAAACCGCACGTGGCACGTTGTTTTCGGTGACACGTCATCGAGCACTACGGATCTTCTGTGCACGAAATGTTTTAACTTTAATTTCGCCCTTGCGATACGCAAAGTGATAATGAATGACAGCGCTGAAGAGATATCGCTGGGAATCCGATACACAAAGCGAGTGACAGTGCTTTTTGCATCGAATGTGACGGCGCTTACAGCACGCCACCGGCGAAGCGCGGAACTCCCAGACGCGCCGCGCGATGGTCGAGCTCATCTTAGTAGGTCCCGCACTCTCGAACCCCGGTGCATTTCCATTAGTTCTCAGGGGCCCTCCAGGTGGAGCAGCCTGTATCAGCGGCCTCGCGTTCCGGCGTTCGGGTTTCATTTCGTGCTGATTGTACATATGTTGCTGCTCGCCCGCTATGAGATACGCGTTCCAAAATTATCGGAATGATGTACAATCGGGGAATAATGAATTGCGAACAGAGGAGCGCGTGGCTCGCGGTACAGGCTCCCACGTAGCACGAGAACGTTCCGAGAACATTCCGGGAATGTTCAAAATAACATAGACAACATTCTTGGAATGTTGAAGATTTTCGTAAGAACATTCTATCAACGTTGTCAGAATGTGGCGCAGGCACTTATCGCTACATTCGGGGAATGTCTTCAAAGGGATATTCTTGGAACGTTCTGAGAACGACATAGAACATTACCAGGTCATTCAATCAACATTGAAACATCCTAACAAGGTTCTAAGAACGTTCTCAGTACATCCCAAGAACTTCTGCAACATCAGAGAATGTTGCAAATTTACGTAAGAACACTCTATCGACGTTGTCAGAATGGGGCGCAGGCACTTATCGCTACATTCGGGGAATGTATTCTAGGTGATATTTTTAGAACATTCTGAGCACGACAGAACATTTAATCACCATTCTAACAAGGTTTTAAGAACGTTCCCAAAACATCCAAAGAACATCTGCAACATTCTCTGAGGTATGTTTACGAAGATTCCACAATTATGGCTTGCTTAGCTTACAGCCCCACTGAGCCGTACTACATATATTGATATAATATATCTCCTCACAGAGCGATCGATATATTTTAATCGAAATATTATTTTTCCAGGCCTAGCACAACCTAGCCGCTTTTCCAGCGCATTAGCCACAGCCTGTACTATAACGGCAGTTTACTCCTACTTATCAAAACGTGCGGCATACATAACCGATTACTCACTCCGAGCTTAAGAACAGATACCTACGGCATCCCACACTGCAGCGGGACATACCTTTATCAAGGTATTGAATCCGAGATGCTAAAAATCGGGTCTATTCAAAACTGCCGCTCTACATACGCAGTGAGTGTCAAGCTCATTATCAAATTTTGAAGACCATTGCTTTTCTCCTACACCTTATCTCACATTCCTCGGTACACTCGTACAAGATAAAACTGATCCCTTATGCTAAGTTTCCAAAACCTCCACTTAATTTGCATATTCTTGGCACAAGGTGGCATGTAGTGGATGGTGTTTCGAAACACAAGTTGCTTAAAAGCTCCGTAAAGTTGGCTTCACCTGCGAAAATTTTAGGAGTGTTCGGAAGCGAACGTTCTAAGAATGTTGCACATATGAATGTTCAAAGGGGAACGTTTCGAGAACATTGTGCATACGAATGTTCGCCAACAAACGTTTTTAGAATGTTGAGCAGCTTACCTTGTAAGGAATGTTCGCATACGAACGTTCCTGGAACGTTCTGAATGGTGTTTTAACGTTCCTTCAACATTCGGAACACCCAGGGAATGTTCGCACGACATTGGATGCTACGTGGGCTGCGCCGCCTGGAAGTGAACCTAGGGGCGGGGGTGCGTGGCCTACTTCGATGGGTTCACGCCCCTCGATTGGCGCTCCCCCAGCTTCGGCAGTGCGCCTCTCAGTGCGCTGAAAGCTGTCACCGCTATCTTTGCCTGCTCGGCGAGTGCGGCGAGCTGCTTTGCACCGCACGTGCTGAGCCAGCGAAGATAGCGGTGATAGCTTTCAGCGCACTAAGAGGCGCACTGTTGAAGTTTGGGGAGTGCAGAGGGAGGGGCGTGAACACGTCGAAGTAGGCCACGCACCCTCGCTCCTAGGCTCACTTCCAGGCGGCGCAGCCTGTACTGCGAACCACGCGCTCCTCTGTTCGCAATTCATTTTTCCCCGATAGTACATTGCGGTAGTAGC